CCATGGGAATCTGTGAGGTAAATGTTACCTTCATTATAAAGTTAGATAATGAAGGACCAAATAGTCTAAAGCCCAAATGTTTGCTTCTATTTTGGTAAGAACACTTCATTATCTTTCCATTGAACCTAAATTGTTATTGGTCAGCTGCTTCTGAGTGCTTTTATATTTTTTTCTTCAGTTTTGAGAATTCTGTACATCTATACAATAAAATATTATCATATCTACCCCCTACTTTCCCCTCCAGTGGTCTCCATGTTTCCCCAGAATGATGCCCACCCAACTGTATGTATTATTTTTTTTATAACCTACTAAGTCCAGTTAATGCTGGAGATATTCAAGGATGTGGGGCATCTCCTGGATTATGGCATACCTACTGTGGCCACACTCTCAAAAAGAATGCTTCTCTCTCATTCTCTAACAACCAACTACCAATAGCTCCTCAGCAAGGAGTGGGACCTGGAGATCAGCTCCTTCATCTATGCTGGATTTGAGCTGGCATGGTCTTGTGCAGACCTTGTTCAGGTATCCACAGCTGCTGTGTCTTCATGATTGTAAAAACCATGCCATGTCCAGAAGATAACATTCCACACCGCTCCTGCCTATCCCCCTGTCTTACATTGTTTCTGCCTTCTGTTTCTCGATGTCCCTTAAGCCTAGGTAGAGAAGGGGGTTAGTACAGATGTCCTATCTACTGAGTGCTTCTAGAAGTCCCCTGTTTCACTTGACTTTGTTAAAAGTCTCGCACTGAGCTTTAAAGGTAGCAGTGAGACCGGTTGCTGCAGACCAGCGTAATAAACCCTAAGTGGTGCTTCCCCTGGTAATCTTAGGTCTTGGCAGGTGTTTCTGCAACCCTTTGGTTTGCATTTAATGATATGCCCATTTATTCCTTCACATGATTTTTATGAGAAAATAATGTTGCCGATCATTTTCTAATCCATAGTTTAATATTTGCAGACTCATAGAAATGCAATTTGGCTGCCAGCACCTGTTCAAGGACAGACTGCTTATTTCTAGATACACTATCAAGCACAACATTAAATAATAAAAGGTAGATTATGTCTGTTCTTTAGCAAAAGCAAATTTCACTTCCTGCTCAGTAATTATCTTAAGAGAGCCAAAATGCAATCATTAAAAATAAGTTAATTATTTTTGCCATTTGTTTGCCATAAATTAATGTTAATGTTACTTAAAGTCCTTCTACAGAGAATTTCTTCCCAGAAAATATATTATCTATTTTTTTAGTTAAACCTTTTTTTTATTAAAATTTAAAAAAAAAAATCTAGACTTTTTTGTTGATTATAATAGCGATTCAATGTATTTAATCTGAGATTTTGTTTTAGCAAAGCCACAAGGTACAAATCCTACTTCACTGGCAAACACTGAACTTTTAGCCTCCGTTGTCAACTGCCTTTCTTTACTTACTTTGAGGGTCTCAGCCTTGAAAAGACGCTGGCTGAAGGGGACAGTTGAGTAAGGAGTTAATTGAAAGAGTAAAATGAAGAGATCAAGAACCTCAAATTCTTGTTCATTTTATTTCTAAAATTTTCTACTTGTTATCAAACTCGTAGCCATAAAGCACTTTTGAACATTTTGTAGCTAAAACCCCAAACCTATTGTTCTTATTTTGACATGTCACAACAAGGCTGGGACTCTGCTTCCGCAACTGAATTTGTTAATTACATTGAATCTTTTCTGAGTTTTATTACTCATGATCATTACTGTCTAAGGACAAAGTTTTGTATCGCGGCTTGTATTTGTTCTTTGGTCAGTATACTTTCTCTGTCTGCTCCAGGGTTTCGTGCTGTTTTCATAAAATATATTTTGATCAAGTTTTCCCCTCTCCCATCTTTACCCAGATCTTTATATATACACAACACCTCTCTCATCCCTCCTCTTTCTCTGTGTCTCCACACCCCCACTCTCTTCCTTTAAAAAAATTCAAAACAAACAAAAGCCAATAAAAAAATGCCAAAACAAAACAAAATGAAAGAAACCTCACACACAAAAGAGAAAGATATAAAGAGAAAACAGCACACAGATCCATGGAGTTTATTCTGTGTTGGTCAATTAAATCTGGCCATGGAGCCTGCCCTGGAGTGTGGTTGATATACACAGTGACATGTGACACTCCATTGGAGGAAACTGATTTTCACCTTCCCAGAAGCTAACACTTGCAAATAGCTTCTTGGTGAGGGGGAGGCCATGTCCACATTCCCCTTTCAATGCTTTGATCCTGTCTGGTTTGGACCTGTACAGGCACTGTGCATGCTGGCACCGTCTCTCTAACTTCATATGGGCATCAGTCCCATTGCATCTGAAAGATGTTGTTTCCTTGGCCTCATCCACTACCTCTCACTCTTACAATCCTCCTGCCTCCTCTTCTGCATAGATCCTCGAGCCTTGATGGAAAGGATTTGATGAAGACATCCCATTTAGAGCTGAGTGCTCCAAAGTCTCTCACTCTCTGCACATTGTCTAGTTGTGGGTCTCTGTGTCAGTTCCCATCCACTGCAAGAAGCAGCTTCTCTGATGAAGGTCGAGCAAGGCACTGATCTATGGGTATCTGTTCTAGGTGTTGCATCTGTGCTTTGGTAAACTCATGACTCCCTCGAGGGGGCACATGAGACCTTACAATCACACTATCTTTGGCAGAAAGATGAGAAAAAAAGTCCATGCCCAGGTTTGGGCTCATATTCTTCTTTCAGATTCCGATATAATTTAGTAGATATTCAGTGATAAGGAAAACATGTCATCTCAAAGAACAAAAATGCACAGCAGTCATGCTCAAAGCACTGCGTCATTTCAGTGTCTGTGGATATCTTTTCTCTTTGACTCCCTGCAAAAGAGAGAGATGGGGTTGTTGCATTTTGTTTATGTGATTGTCTTCATGCAAGTGTGTCCATGCACCACTTGCATATCTGGTGCCCTTGGAGGCCAGAAGAGGGTGCTGGATCCCCTGGAACTGGAGTTAGAGGTGGTGTGAACTGCCTTGTGGGTGCTGGGAACAGAACCAAGGGCCTCTACAGAATCAGCAAGTGCTCTTAACTGCTGAGCCATCTCTCCAGCTCCAAGGGAGGTATTTAATACCAATTCAATTAAATATGCATTCAATCCCTTCTACTGATGGTAGGCCATCTGTTACCAGTTCTACTCAATTTCTATTTCTAGAACAAATCTTTCTTGGTGCCTGAATTGTATAGCATTTCAATACCTATATAAATTCACTATCCTAGTAATATAAAATGTCTACCTGGGTTATAATATAAGAAGTTATTTATTGGTACCATGCAAGCTTCCAAGAGAAGGAAGCAACCAATAGTCCTATCTAGCTATGATGCCAATAAACCACAGTAATAGCCAGCCCGACATGATATCCCCAAGGGTACAACAGTGGTACACATTCCTTGGCAGTAACCCACAGCTCTTGAATTGGACTAAAACCCACTCAACAAGAATGAAACCATGCCTGGTACTGGAAAACCAGCCAACTTGCCAGGGCTAGTAAAGTCAGGCCCCACTTTACTAATCCAACATAATCTCTAACTGCATTCTAAATACTTACCCTTATACACACAGATAAGTGTAGTCCTCACCCCTCATCCAAAAAAAAAAAATT